GATGACTTTAAAATGATATTGCAAATATTGCTGAATTGCGTTGCTGAGACAACTTTATTGAAAGATTATTTATTTATATTCATTCGATTACATGAAATCAACTTTTACTTAAGAATATCTGTCAGAAAAATCATAGCATGTGATACGTCTTTAAAAAGACCACCATACTGACATGACTGACAGTAAAATTCTCCTGTTAGTGAGTCAATAGTAAATCATGAGGAAAAAACCAGGATAAAAAACCTCATAATACTATCCCCACATGGTAAGTATTTGGTCGTGCATTTAGTTTAACCTTCAATAAACATTCAATTCTGATTTTATTTGTATGTTATTTAAAAAACATAAATGATTGATTCTCGATATGTTACTGACTTACTAATAGTGGTATTTTCCTTTTATTAACTTCCTCTTTTAACAGGGGTAACCAGATCCTACTACACTCTGTCGAGGTCTCATTAAGCATAATTAGAGCACTAGAGCAGCTTCTTTGATTTTTCTCTTTTTACTATCTGTTTCTTTTAGGACTATACTTGAATTGTTCCATTGAACCCTATGTTCATTTTCCCATGCGTGTTTACATATTTAAGATCTATCAAATTCTCTATTTTTAATATAAGATTGATGTTCATTTATTCTAACATTTAATGGCCTTGATATTTCGCCTAAATAAAACTGATAGCATTTACAGGGTATTTTATAAATAAAATTCTTTGTTCTTTCTTGTTCATTGTTAGATTTAGTTTTAGATAAAATAAATCTTGATCTGTTGTCGTATCTCTACAATTCTACAGGGTGTTAATTTTGCTACGAAATATGAAAAAATGTAATTATATTTAAACTACCTCGTATAACACTGCCAAACCTTATATTAAAAAAAAAACAAGAACATTGGGAAGAGTCCAAAAATGTAAAAATATACAGAGTATTCCATTAAAAAAAAAAGATAAATTTGTTCCATCGTGGTAATATTAGTAGCTCTGTATATTTAAAAATATTTTTAAAGTATGGTCTTATCTGTGCTACCTAAATTATTTTTTTTTCGTGTATCTCTCACGACAAATAAGTAAATGGACTTCCACGCAGTCATGCCGCACTAGGACCACCCTATATATATATATATATATATATATATATATATATATATATATATATATATATATATATATATATATCTATAATAAGGATCACTCAGATGAGTGGTGGGTTCTTATATCGGTCTCAAGGTGGAGAAATAAAAAGACAAAGTTGATGACTACTTTATCTATTTTGAAGACGTTTCGCTTTCGTATTCTGAAAGCATCATCAGTTCATCTAAAAAGTACAATATGAAAACCACACAAGCATGGACAAGATGTTATAAGTGTTACCTTAAAAAGATATGTAGCAGTCAATGATATTAAAAAATGTGAGTAAGCTCAAGTAAATGGACATTATACGGTAATATTGTATAAACAATCAATTAACTAACAACAATTAGCAACTTATTAAAAATTAGCACAGCAAAAGAACATGTGGACACCTCTTCCAACATACTTTCATCTACATCAGGCTCCACAGACAACAGATTATACCGTAGAAGCCAAGCTATAATTAGACAGGTGAGGGTACAATTACTTAATTTCCATATTTCTAAGGTTCACACTGATATTAAATTTATAACCTCTCAAATTAATAATGTTACTTCTTTCTTGGACAATCACCTACCTGACAATTTGTTGGACAATTTTGAGGCTTTATTACATAAGAAATTTAATTTTATATTTCATAAATCCATGGCACACCTTCGAAATAAACTTAATAATTTAGACATTCCTGAATTCAAGAAAATTCCATTTAATCCTAAATGGATTAAAAATTTATCTAATATTGAGGTTCCTCCTGACATACTCAAGTTGTTATCTTTGGGTCCTAAATTTGGCTTTCAACCAACTTTCAGAGACTACTCGGTTAGTAGAATTTTAGCAGATGTTGAGAATATTTTGTCGCATGCTGACAATTCTGACCTTTTATCCCTTAGGTCTTCTTCCAACAACATCTTGTTGAATTTCACTAAACTTCCTAGGCAACCCTTATCGGAGTTAGATAAGATTTACAGGGAGACGGTATCGTTTTTAAAAACCCGCCCTAATCTTCTCGTTCTCACGAGCGACAAAGGTAATGCTACTCTCCTTATGGATAGAGATCAATACATCAGTTTGAGTAAATCACTGTTAGATGATGATAGATACTATCAACCTCTTTCTACCAACCCTTGTTCTAAATTCACTAATAAAATAAATAAATTTATAACACACTTAAAAAACATAAAGATCATAGAACAACCTCTTGCTAAATACTTACATAATTATGATGGATATGCTCCCAGATTTTATTGTCTACCTAAAATACATAAACCTACACTGAGCATGAGACCTATCATCTATTAATTCACCAAATATTAATATTTCTAAATTTCTAACGGATATCTTATCCAAATCATATCATTACAATAACAACTTTAATATTGTTGATCCTTTTCACTTTAGTGAATTTATTAATAATTTCAAACTACCACAAGGCTACATTTTAGTAAGTTTTGATGTGGTATCTCTCTTCACTAACTTACCTCTTTCCAACGTTATCACCTCTTTGAGAAATCATTGGAACTCCATTAAACCTAACTGTCCTGTTTCTTGGGATGTATTTGCAGAACTTTTGCAACTAGTTTTCGACACTGATTTCTTGGTCTTTGATGACAAATACTATCTCCAAATATTTGGCACACCTATGGGTTCCTCAATCTCTCCCATCCTAGTTAACTATGTAATGGATGATTTGGTATCTGACCGTTTAGGTCTTTTGGATTTTAAAATTCCTTTTAGTAAGCGGTATGTGGATGATTTATTATTAGCCTTACCTCCTGACAAGGTTCAGGGCACCTTATCCTTTTTTAATGAGTTTGATCCTCATTTACAGTTCACTGTTGAACTTGAGGACACTGTCACCAATAGTATTCCCTTTTTAGACATGCGTGTCATTACAATGGGAGATAACACCCTAACCACAAGTTGGTATAGGAAACCGATGGCCTCTAATAGGTTCCTTAACTATCATTCCTGTCATCCTATGAATTATAAATTAAAAGACAGCTCTAAACTGCCGATTAAATAAATTGACACATCCGATTAATCGAAGGGAATCCCTTAAATTATTAGGAAATATTCTAATTGAGAATTCATATCCTTCTTCTATCATTAATAAATACCTTTACTCACAAAGCTATGGTTCCTCGTTTGATGACATACCCAATGGTGACCAACTTGGAACCATATCAAATAATTCAATTAATAGCATTGTTCTGCCTGATACTGATCTTGGGAATCCTACCATCCATTACTCATCTTTACCTTATTTTCCCCAAGTTACGGAGAAACTTATTAAACTGTATAAACAGAATAACATACCTGTCAAAATTGCTGTCAAGAACGCTAAGACTGTTAGAAATTTGTTTTCAAAAACTAAAACACCCTTGTCCACTTTGGAACAAGTTAACACCATTTATCATATTCCTTGTGTCGAGTGTGATTCATGTTATATCGGTCAGACTGGGAGATCATTAAAAGGTCGTCTCACTACACATCGTAGCGACATTAATCTATCAAAGCACACATGTGCTTTGGCGCAACATGTCATCAATACTAAACATAAGGTGGATTTTAATGAAGTTAAGATTCTTGGCACTGAACGCAATCTCGTTAAAAGAAAGTTTTTGGAAATGTGTTCAATTCTTGAACACCCGAATGATCTTCTTAAACACCCGAATGCTCTTAATAATAAGAGAAATGGCATAAGTTACTTAAGCCAAATATATCATGCTTTAATTTTGCAGAATTAGGCTTAACGAGCTATTTACTATATAATTGTCTTGTAAGGTGTACAGTTAAATACATTTGTTGATTAAATAATTTAAAATACAATTAACATATAAAAATAAATTCATAACATAAATAAAATATTTCAATATTATTACTTAACTCACATAGACTTATGCAACTAACATTGCATTTACTTTCATTATTTCATATACACATATTAGTGTGAATTGTTTACGTGTGAACATAAATTACAGTTCCAAGTGTATGAACCTTGGACTGTTGGAAATTATTATAGTTTTTCACCTGTGGCTGAGTATTCAGCTACAACGTTGACGATTTTTATATGTATATGAGTTTGACTGACTTTCGCCTGTTTGTTCGTTCTAGACTGATTGATGGGAGGAATTGATGTTATCAAGGATGTTCTTTCATTGTTTGGTCTCTTATACACCGGTTGTCATCCATTTGTCAACTCATTTGAACTTTTCAAATACAGTGCCCTATAAATTGGGTTGGTATCTCAACCGTGTAGTTCTGTCGTAGATTTATGACCTCAAGGTTGGCTGTCTTTTTTACGTTGTTGGCGCTGTTTGTTTCAATTAACGCCATTTTACCGGCGGCAGTTGTGAGGCTTTGATTTAAATTTAAATGATGATTTAAATTACTATTACATGTATATTAGACCACATGTTCTTTTGCTGTGCTAATTTTTAATAAGTTGCTAATTGTTGTTAGTTAATTGATTGTTTATACAATATTACCGTATAATGTCCATTTACTTGAACTTACTCACATTTTTTAATATCATTGAGTGCTACATATCTTTTTAAGGTAACACTTATAACATCTTGTCCATGCTTGTGTGGTTTTCATATTGTACTTTTTAGATGAACTGATGATACTTTCAGAATACGAAAGCGAATTTTCAAAATAGATAAAGTAGTCATCAACTTTGTCTTTTTATTTCTCCACCTTGAGACCGATATAAGAACCCACCACTCGTCTGAGGGATCCCTCTTGTATATTGGATTGACGGTCGTACTCCTTTTCCGATATATATATATATATATATATATATATATATATATATATATATATATATATATATATATATATATATATATCTGATAAATTTATTTGTAGGGAATGATACCTCCTCCAATGCCTCCAATGATGGTGCAGACTCCACCAACAACCACAGCAGCTCTCACACATCCTGTTTTAGATGAATTAAAAGGAAAAAATAACTATAATCCAACAGACTTTGATTTAACTGCGCCTAATGCACGGTTCTTTGTTATTAAATCCTATTCTGAAGACGATATTCATAGGTAATTTTAATCTTTTTAATGTACATTTATGCGGAAATTTATAAAAAGGTAAGCGCCTAAAATTCTCCTCATTATATGGAAAAAATATTACTGTTCAAACTTAAATCAATTCTCTATTTAAAAAATAATAGATTGTTTCATACAATCGATATCAGCTTACTATCGTCTTTAAATAGGTCCAAGATATTGTTTAATTAAAAAAGACCGTGAGGGGTTTCATGGAGCACCCCTTAGAAACGAAACTCCTTGTAATTTGTATATAAAATCAATTATTATTTATATAACTTATTTTTAATATCAAATACTTTTTTTTAATGTAATTATATTGCGCATCAATCTTCCCTTTCTAAGGAGGGATACGTTGCGATCCAACCATTATTATGAAAGATACAATTAAGTGACTTTCAAGGATCTTTTAATAGGGACTTCCAAACTTTGACAGCTGGTAGCGGCTATATTGTTAAAACTACATCTGTAAAATTGTCTGTCATTTATTCAATCTCTTTCGCCAAATTGCCACGGATGGATATAGCGTGCAAATAATAAAATTGTTTTCAAAATGGGTGTTATTCGCCCATTTTATGGTTATCGTAATCGTCCTACCAAGAACACCATTTGCAGTGTAGTGCATAAATTTAAGTACACTGTCCATCGCTGTTGTCCGTGAGAGTGGGCAGGAGAATAAGAGTTCTCTGAAAACGACGTTGACCAGGTCATCAGCTCATGTCACATTGGACATTCCGTACAAATCATTTAAGGAAATGGTCATCGCACGTGGAGGTGATAAAACCGTGCTATTTGACTCCGTTTAGACTCTTTCTGGTGGATTTTTAAGTCACAAGTCTATGCGAATAAAACAAAAATCATAATGGCCCTTCAAGTCAACATAACCAATCATCATCATTCATCAATCAGTCATAATTTCTCCATTCTTGAACATAGGCTTCCTTTCGATTTTTGCTATTTGAAAAATATAATTTTATTAAAACTAAATTACAAAATGAAACAAATTGGTATATACTCTGACATTAAGGACGGTGACTAACAAATGTAATCCGTTATCCGAATTGTACGAGGTGTAAATTAAATACGACGTTTACTAACGTTAGAAAATCAAAATACCTCAGTCAGCTTTCATTCGTCGTGGTAGTTAGACGTGCGTAAGAAAGAAGCTTGTTTTTAAAACCGGTGTTTATAAATTAGATATATAAATAAATATTTCGAGAACTTTAAAAGTAAATTAATTACACTACACAAAAAGCGAAATTCGGAAAGACATTAAAAACTTATGAGTGCAGTTAGCGGAGGCGATACCTCCGATAACAATGTTTTAGAAACCCAAATGGACACAGAAAATGCATCATCTTCAAAGGAGGAGCTGTTAGGATTTAAAAATCTGGTTCCGGTTATACAGATAAGTACCAAAAAACATGTTAATAATATACCCATTATCGATAATGACTTTGCTAATGTACAAACTTCAATAACAAATACTATAAACAAAGAAGTAGGAATAAAAAGGGAGGAATTTCTTTACCGACAAAACGACTTGGGACCTCATTACGTATATTTGGAAAATAATTCACCCGATTTTAAAGGCAGATTAAACGCTCTAAGGATGGGTGACATTATTATCTCAAATTTTAAAGAAATCGATGAAAAAATTGTGAGCATTGACGCAGTAGGGAGAAATAAAATACGCATAAAATTTAAAGATTATAAATCGGCCAACTATATAATATCTAAAAAAATGAAGCAATATTTACAAAAAATAATTTAGACATATACATTCCTAAGTTTCTTGTAGTTAGACAGGGCGTAATAAGAGATATCTCCACAGAATTTTCAGTAGAGTATTTTAAAGATAGAATCAAAATGTACGATTTACACTGTAAATTTGAAGTCATTCAAGTCAAAAGATGAAGGAGGCAAGTAGATGAAAACGGTACTCAATATATTCCAACAAAAACATGTGTAGTTAGTTTTCGGTCACAGGTACTACCAAAATATGTAACAATCAACAAGGTACTAAATAAAGTCGAGCCATACAAACAAAAGGTGCTATCATGCTTTAATTGTCTTAGATTTGGACATACAGGGGGACAGTGTAAGAGCAGGGCTAGGTGCGATAAATGTCAGGAATCACACAACTCAAAAGAGTGTAAAACGACCGATATAACTCCAAAATGCTTAAATTGTTCGGGGAATCATTTTACTACAAATTTGAGCGCGTGTCAGGAATTTCAACGTCAAAAACCTGTAAAAGACGCTATGTCTTCCAGTAATATTAGTTATCAAGACGCCAACAGACAGTTCCCCAGAAACTCCTATGCAAAAGCAACAACCCTTAATACGGAACAAACTACTAACAGTTCCTGCCTCAAAACTTTCCCTCCATTAAATCCCAATAATTATACACCCACCCAGCTCCCATCAAATCCAATTAACCAAATGTCAACAAATAACATATTTTACAACAATTCAAATAGTACAAATTCTAGAACATTTAAAAGACAGAGACCAAATAGTCCAGATCCAACATTAATTTTGCGTAATAAAATTATAGCTTCCCCTAGATCTCAATTACCTACGGGAGGAATATTAGACAGTATTAACTATAAAGGAAATATTAATAATAATTCAGTTGCATCTCCTTCAGACCTGAGCATGATAAATTCAATATTAGAATTAGTTATAGAAATTGTCACAAAAGTTTTAGTAACAAAAAGTATAAATATAAATAAGGAAGAACTCGAAAACTTAGTCAAGTTAACTATAAATGGAAACACGTCATCACATTCTCAGACCTCAACCATGCAATAAATATTCTTCAATGGAACTGCCGTTCGGCAGTTTCTAATAAAACTAAATTAGAATATCTACTAGATACGGGCAACTACTCCGTTGCACTTCTATCGGAAACATGGTTTAAAGCAGAAAAATATTATAATTTTAAAGGCTTCAACAATATTCGCTGTGACCGGGACGACGGGTACGGCGGCTCAGCCATTTTATTAAAATCAGACTTAATATACCAAGAAGTCTCAATTCCAACTACAATAAACTTTGAGTATACTTGTATCTCGATTAATTTTCCATATATACATAAAAAAAATTTACTTCGTTTCAGTATACTTTAAATCGAGGACTAAAATATCATTACAACATTGGATCAACTTTTTGGAACAAATATTCATAATTGGGGGCGACTTTAATGCACATAGTTTGGCTTGGAATGATGGATATGACGATATCTATGGCAAGATTCTTTTGGAAGCTATCGAACAATGCAACCTAGTAATTTTGAATCACCTACACTAGCAAACAATAAGAAGTCAGCTGTAGACTTGACCCTCTGTACACAGGATCTGACGCACCTAATTACGTGGTCTACTTTAGAAGAACCTTATGGCTCTAACCACTTACCAATACACATACAATTTGGAAGGAATAGCCCGCTTGCGCAAATTAAACAGACAAAACATAACATATGGAGACTCGAGGCTGCTAATTGGGATGTATACACCGCTACACTTGAAGCTACAGAACCAAAATCATCACTAAGGGGCATTATCCACAATATTAACAAAGCTGCCGACGAGGCAATTCCCTTACAAAAATCAAACACACAAAATAGAAATCATTGTTCAAAAGACTGGTGGAATGAAACTTGTAACATAGCTGCTAAAGCAAGAAAACAACCTTACTTAACCTACACACATGCTCCAAATCTTAATAATCTAACTGAATATAAAAGACTTGATGCAGTAGCTAAAAAAACTTTCAAAGAAGCTAAGAAAAAAAGCTGGACTAATTATTGCCAAAATCTAAATCAAAATACACCAATCAAAGAAGTGTGGAACAAAGTAAACCGATACAAAAACCGAAAACAAGCAAATAAACCCCCAATAGACCCCAAAGAAGACTGGATAAACGAATTCCACACAAAAATCTCACCCCCATGGGTTGAAAACAACATTACTCAACAAATAGCTACCGTAAATAGAAACACCTCTTTTCTACAATCACTATTTCAATTATGGGAACTCGATCAATGCATTAAATCAACAAATAATAAATCTCCCGGGGCGGATAACATTTCATACAATATGTTGCATAAAATGCCCTTAGGTCATAAGAAAGCCCTGTTAGAATTGTTCAATTCGATTTGGATAAATAAGATTCCTTTTCCACCAATGTGGAAAGAATACATCGTAGTACCTATCAAAAAACCTGGAAAACAGAATGGAAATGCAGATTCATATAGACCCATAGCTTTATCATCGTGTATATTTAAAACCATGGAAAGAATGATAAAGAACAGGCTTGAATATTGGCTAGAAAATGAAAAAATATTACCTGACTCACAATATGCTTTTAGAAAGGGAAGATCTTCCTTAGAACCCCTAACGATACTAGTAAATGACATCTATCTAGGATTCACACACAAATACAGCACTTTGGCTACATTTTTGGATATAACATCAGCATATGATAATGTTCAAATAAATATACTAGAAGAGAAGCTTATCAATATTGGTCTACCAACCTCCTTTGCCAACTTCATAAAATCAGCTTACTCTAATCGATCAGTTTCCTTAAAGATAAATAAAGAAGTTTCGGAATCAAGAATATGTAGATCTGGATTACCACACAGTAGTATCTTGAGCCCAATCCTCTACAGCCTGTACACAATGGACATAGAAAATGTTATATCACCTAAGTCCAAAATTATTCAATACGCCGATGATGTTATTTACATCAGTAACAAATCAGAGGATAAATGTATAGAAACTATCAATGCTGAATTTATAGAAATCCAAAAATGCCTAGACAACATGGGACTTTCCATATACGAGTCCAAAACCAATATATGTATTTTCTCTAAGAACAGAAACAACTATCAAAGGCCATTAACAATAGGAAAATATAAACTCCGTATTAGCAACTCTGTAAAATATCTTGGTCTGCATCTAGATAGAAAACTATTATGGAAGGAC